ATCTGCCATGACGTTGCCAGTACAAGATTTTAGTGTGTTCTTTCTGCTACAGAATGAATTAATGGAGGTGTAAATTGGTGTTTGCAGGATGTCATTCATAATTAAACATGGATTAACTCTAAGATGCCATTCCTCCACTGTATGCCCCTCAGGGGGATCCAGTGCTGTGCTTTTCCCTTGGGATGTGATGCTGTTGATGTGATTACTGAAGCACTTTATAACACTGATTTCACCAGGCAGCACACTTGGTGATCTCTGCAGTGACAAGGTAGGTCTATTAGCTTCAATTCACACAATTGGAAGAAACATGTTATTTGGGGGAAAAATGACATGAAAGAATCATCTGTGTGAAAAGAAAATCACCTGTGATGTAGTGATCTGACTCTGACATGAAGACACAACTGCTTGTGTGTGTGTGTGTGGTTATTGACCTGACTCAGGCCAGTCTCTGCTCCTGGTTGAAGATGGCCCTTCCCACCATTTTCACCTGTGAAGGTTCTTAGCTCAATATTTTTTTCTTTTGGGCATCAGAAAAGAGTATCTTCTGTTGCCCGCTAGTACAAGAGTTTCAGACAGCTGTAGAGATCTCCARCATTTTGACTTTCGGACCAGACTGGGATATATCACTCCAGTGCTGGTCCAGTGCCAGCCAGCAAGCTGGGCCTGAAAAGAGGTGCTAGATGCTCTGAAACAAATCATTTCAAAGAGGTATTGCTAGGAATTGCTAGAATGATGCTGTTTTACAGCTATGGTTGATCTCAAACAGATGCACACAAGATCTGGGCCAAAGCAAGGCAGAATRAAGACTGTCTTAGACACAAGAGGAAGGTTTGACATCTGCTGTAGAGGACTGGGCTGCCTTGCGTCAATCTGGAAGGACAGACAAAAATTCTTATTGCTTCATGGATGTTTTATGTCTTTGTGGACATCAGTTAGGATCAAATGGAGAGCGTGGCCCGCAGCTCCTGGTGGGAGGACCATCTGTGCTTCTACAGTCCTTGTAGCACCCTGTGATGCTTAGGATCACCTGCCTAAACYTAGGCTTTTTTTTTTCCACCTTGGTTGCAAGACCACAGGGTGATTTTGCTGCAACTTGCATGGGAGCTGTTAGCATGTGTAGGGGATATGTCCTCTTCTGCACGTACACTTGCTTTGCCTTGCCTGGAGCCAGTGTTTTTGGTTTGGGGAGTGGAAGAATGGGACACATGTTTAAAGTGTAAGTCTGTTTGGGTCAGGTAAGCTAGCGCAACAACCCACCCCCCACCCTGCAAAAAGCAGAACCAGAAATACATCGTTTTTGAAGCTATACAAGATGATTTAACAACTCACTGTTGTCCAGAAGGTAGCGGTTTCTCCCAAGCATTTTACCCTGAACCACTTGTGCTACTGATCATACATTGCACAGACTAATTCATTAACCTTGGGAGAGGGGGAGTGAGATGTGAGCACTTCCTAAGAGGTTTTACTGAGCACCATGGGCAGCACAAGAGAAGGGGTTGGGGATGCTGGGCCATAGGGAGCAGCAGCAACAAATACTTGTAACTGCTGAGTTATCATGGAAGGGATAAGCTGGGCTGAGGTGGGGCTCGTTGCTTGCAGAAACTGAGTTCTCGCTGATCAAGTTCAGATCCTTTATTAGGAAAAGAAATTGGCTCCTTGTGGGATATGAAACAGTGCTTGTGCCATTAGGAACAGCCAGAGTATCCCCTGCATTTAACTACAGCAAATTAGTCTCAGGGAGATTTAGATTATTGCAACTCCCTGCAAGTCTCCAAAAAGAGAGGTCAGTGGAATACAGTAGAAAGCCAGGTCATATGGTTAAAAGCAGAAACTTTTCGGACTTAACGAAGGCAATTTCAAGGGGCAGAGGAATGTTTGCCTTTTTGTGGGTGTGCCAGGTTGATTTTGAGGCAGTGCAGCACCCGAACGCTCCTCCGCAGGGGACAGGAAGGGGTTATGGCAAAGACCAGAACGGGCCCTGCAGCAGAAGCTCACGCAACGCCGAGACACCAGGAAGGACGCGAGGGGCGTCCCCAGCCGCACTCGTGGCCACGAACGCTTCTCTGTGGGTAGCAGGATGCTGGGCAGCACCTCCGAACCTGCGCAGTCTGCAGAGGTKGTAGCAGCCGTCCTGTGGGCAACACCGAGAAAGGTTTCCAAAGCCCAGCCTTTCTGGGGAGCCTTGACGTTCCCTAGAAGCTTTTCTTTAGTTTTCTGGAGGAGCTTTTCTGTTTCCTTTCTTTCCCTGCTGTGTAGAGGAGCGTACTGCACCTGGAAGTGCTCTGAGCCCAGACTCGGCCAACAGCCACCATGGCTGGTGGTTCCTCAGCACCGTGGCCTCACCTACAGTCGGTGCCCACCGCTGCGTGGAAGCTTGTAGAGACGTTAAAGACAACACCATGCAGGTACCATCCTCTCCCTCAACGGCATGTTAAAAACACAGCCAGAAAGGGACTGCACCCAATAGAACAGCCCTTTCCCATAGAACAGCAGCCCACAACATAACGGAGGCGGGGAGGCGGGGAAGAAAAAGAAAATGCAGAGGAATAGGATCACGAAGCTACGAATTTAAGCTCTAATCTGTTCAGAAAATAAAGTTGTCCTAATACAAATTTAAACTATTCCATAGGCCACTGTTGCTGTGATGGTAAGAAATTACTCCTCTATTGTGCTGCCTCAGCAGTGACCCCACAGCTTTTGTGGGGAGCCAACGAACTCACAGGTTTGGGAAGCGAAAGATGCATCCAGCTTGGGAAGTGTTGAGTAAGTAAAATGTGAATGGATCTGCTGAAGTGTGTTGCTTTTCAGGGAAGAGCTCTTCCCATCGGGCTTCATATTCCCGGGGGAGCAGGGGACGCATGAAACAATGTTCCTGGCTCAGGTTCATGGGGCCCAGCTGCAAAGCAGGAACCCACAGGCAACAGCTCATCAGGGGCCCGGAGGAGAGCGGCTGCTTGAAGCAGCACCAGCTTTTAGCTAAATCTTTTGTTAAAATGACTCTTCCTGAGCAGGCGCTTCCCTCAGGAGGGACACCACCAGAGAGGGGSGGTCTGGCTCCATCCTCAAAGCGTCACAGGGCACCCTTGTCAGAGCACCCTGTGCGTCAAAGCCTCCAGCTTGCTCCTGCCCTTTCCCAAGGGTCGGCTCCCGGCTCCTCTCGAGCTCCACTGCACAACTTTGCAGGGTGGCAAATTGTAGCGCAGGAGGCCTGAGCAACTGGAGAAACTGCAGGGCTCTCTACAAACAAGGCAGCTGGGTAAGGAAAGCCCAGTTTCTTATTTTATACAATTCCCTCTTTTACAGCACCTAGCACCGTAAAGGCACGTTATTTCAGGAGCAGTCTGACAAGTCTTTCGTGTTGTATTTCTTAAAATCTCAGGAGCAACTATTGTGGCACAAAACTCTTCTTAATCCACCCCTGTGGAAAGGGGCTCAGAGAACAAATATCAAGGACTGGAGACACAGACAAACCTCGCTTGGCATTTGAAGCCTTTGTGTAAAAGCAAGTTCTCATTTAAGCATCGGCACCTCTGCTGTCTCGCTGCAGAAACCAGCACTGCTGCACAGGGACAGGTTTCTTCTCCCACCGTTTATGGCACTAAACCCAAGCTGGGGCACCRGGGAGAACCCAGTTCTTCACATTCTGCTAGCTCAGTAGAGAGCACACGTCTCCCCAGACCACACAGGGGGACATTTTTCTTCAGAAACGGATTTCTGCACAGGTGCTTTCACTGCTCCCCCTTTCCGTGCAGCTCCAACTGCAACAACATTAGCTCCCCAAGCATGAATTGTCATTTCCTTTCAAAGATGGAATGGGTTGGGTGCAGGACTACCTACCCTAATATATACTCTTATTTTGGCAGAACAAACACAGCTTAATATTAGATAGCAGAGGGTATTTTGTTGTGGGTTTTTTTTGAGTAAACAGCTACTGAGCAGCAAGCAGAGAGACCGAATAGTTTATTTATTTGCAGGCCGTGACACGACAGGAGGAACGTGGCCAGGCTGGCCCGGGCGCCGCGCGGGCCCCGGCGCTGCCCGTCCTCAGTCATCGTCCTTCAGCTTCTTGATCTTGTGCTTGTGGCGCTCGATCTCCTTCTGCAGGCGCTCGATCTCCTTCCTGTGGTGGTCGATCTCCTCCTCGTGGTGTTTGCGCAGGGCGGCCAGCTGCTCGCGCTCCTTCTCCCTGGGGAAGGGCGGGATGGGCCGCGAGGCCGCAGGGGCCGCGGGCGGGTTCCGCGGGGGGCCCCGCGGCCGCTCACCTGAAGTAGCGCTCCTCCTCGGCCGCCTGCTTCTTGCCGAAGGCGCCGCCGGCCTCGCGGATGGCGCCGCCGCCGCCGCCGCCCTTGCCGGCGCCTTTGCCCGGCTCGCCGAGCTGCGAGGAGGGGAGAGAGGCGGTGAGAGGGGCAGGGAGCGCGCGAGGGCTCCGGCCGCGCG